TTGTTTGTTTGTTTGTTTGGGGTGTGTTGTTGTTGAAAAAAGGTATTTGCAATGAAGAAGTCATAAGTCTGACAGAATTTTATGATACCATCTCCAGCTTTATTTTCGTCATCCCATCACCCAGGCCATTTTTTCCAACTACTGTTCCTTCCTCATTGTATCCAACTTTTGCATTCCAATCGCCAGTAATTAATGATGCATCTTGATTGCAAGTTTGATCAATTTCAGACTAAAGATATTGATAGAATTCTTCAATTTCTTCATCGCTAGCTCTAGTAGTTGGTGGATAAATTTGAATAATGGTTGTATTGATTGGATTTCCTTGTGTGTGAATAGATATAATTCTATTATAGACATCATTATACTTTAAGATAGATCTTGAGATATCCGTTTTGATGCTGAACGCAATGGCATTTCCTTTGATTGTTTTATTCCCATTATAATAAACCATATCATTTTCTGATTCAAAATGGCCAATACCAGTCCATTTCAGCTCACTATTGCCTAGAGTGTCAATTTTCATGAGTTTCATTTTTTACTACTTCTAATTTTCCTAGATTCATATTTTGTTTATTAACATCTATTAATTAAAAGATGTTTGTATCTAAAGAGTTTACTCTTTAAGACTTTACTCCATCCGTGGCACTATGTCTGACAATGTTTTACTTCTTTTAATGAAATTTTCCGTATCTGACAACGTTCAATGCTGTCGATAAGGTTTTCCATGGCTAATTTATCAGAAGTTGACAACCTATTCCTTATGTGTAGTCAGTTCTTAATCTGGAAGCTCTGGTGAAACCTGTTCACTTTGAGTGACCCTGCTGGCATTGGAAATACTAATGACATAGCTTCACTTCATATCCATTCTCTATAAAAAGGATGAGAAAATATCACGAAAAATTTTGTTCCAGTAAATTTGACAACTTAAATAAAATAGAAAAATTCCTTGGCACAGTTGACACAGGAGAAAAAAAGGAAAATATTAATAACTATATGTATTTATTTTTTCCTGCTGTATATGAAATTCATTATTGCAATCCTTCTCACAGGGAAAATGCCAAGACCAGATACTTTCACCAATAAATTCTATTAAATAATTAAGGCAAAAATAGCAAAATCACTTTCTTCCCTAGCATGAATGGTGCTTTTCAATCTATCACCGACAAGCACAGGTATCTCCATGATCTGAGCACTTCCCTTACCTGTGTCTTGGGCTCTAGTCTCCTACCTTGCTTCCTCCATAAAGTGCACTTGCTCTTCACTTCTACTCGACTCCCATGCAACCCCCACCCATGGAGATGAGGAACATTTATGTCTTCTAATCAATGTATTTTCTCTGTTATTGGGAGCTGTCCAGTGTACTCATATTGACCCCATGTGACAGAGTAATACCACCCCAAATAATTTTCTGGATTATATGAGAATAGATTACCTGGTTTTTCTTTTTCAAAGACACTGAGTAGGTTTGAATTGCTAACTCTTTAGTTAGCAGCCAAGTACTTAATTATTGCACCACCTTGTATTTTATTTACCTATAATTAATTTTTTGATATAGTTGTGTTTAATTCTACCGTCTTCCTATTTTTTCCAGATTTTTTTTTTGTTGTTGTTCCTTTTTCCCCCTTTTGTTTTCTTTAGGTTAGAAGCCTCAGTGCTGTAGGGTAAGGGTTGGACTGCTAAGCGCAGGGTGGGCATTCAAACCCACCAGCCTTTCCTTGGCAGAAAGATAAAGCTGTCTGCTCTTGTGAAGAATCACAGCCTCGGAAACACTATGTAGGATCACTTTGAGTCTGAATCGACTCAATGGCAGTGAGTTGTTTTTTGTTTGTTTGCTTGCTTTTAGATTAAGTATTTGCTTTAATTTACCATTTGCCACTTTACCGTATTAATTATACCAAAACAAACAAACTCACTTGATTGGTTTGATTCTGACTCATAGCAACCCTATAAGGACTGAATGAAACTGCCCCATAGGGTTGCCAAGGGTGTAAATTGTTATGGAATCAAACATCGTCTCCTGTGCTAGTACATTCGATCTGCAAACCTTTAGGTTAACAGTTGAGCATTTAAAACCCTGTGCCACTAGGGCTCCTTATATTAATTGTACATATGGTACCTTTATTTTTCTTCTTTTGACTGCCCTAGAGATGAACACTCTGCCATAGAATCTAAATTAGATTCTAAGTTAGTTCCTTTACCTATTTGATAATGTAGGGGTTTTCATTACATTCTAATTCTTTTTACCTGTCCCCTCCTTTTTTGTACTGTTGCATTTTAATTTCTACATACATTTTAATCCTCACAGAATATTAATTTATAATTGTACCTATATGCAATATTCATTTCCCTACTTGTATACTCTTCACAATGCTCCTTATTCTTTCCTGTATTATAGTGCTTCTATCTAGAATCTTCTTTTTGCCTGGAGAACTCCTTTTAGTGTTCTTTTTATTATATATCTATTGACAATGAGTTAACTTAGGCTCTACTGGAATATATCTTCATTTTTCAAGAGTACAGAATTTTGTCTTCATCTTTATTAGGTACAGAATTATTGCTTGGCAGTTATTTTCTCTCAAGTCTTTGCTTTGAGTTGGTTTAAAGGTAATCTCAGGGCAATAGTTTCAAGGGTTCCTCCAGCCTCCAGGGCTCCAGAAAGTCTAGAGTCCATGTGAATTAAAAGATGTGGTCTGTATTTTATCCTCTCCTTGGTCAGTATGTTCAGTCATGGTGGCTGGGCACCATTCATCTAGTCACATGACAAAGGTGGCCTGGAGGTAAGTAGCCACACATTCCATATCCTCCTCCGATTCCTCATTCTCATTCTTCTTCTGTTGCTGCAGATGCACAGAGACCAATTGTTGTTCCCTAGATTCTGCTTGCAGAGCTTGGAAGACCCACGGCACTATGCAGCAAACCAGGAGCTAGAACAGTAGCACTAACATCTGTTATTAGGCAAATTAACCCGGCATGTCACACGAAACCATGACCCCAAACCTCCAAGCCAAATCTAATGAGGTATTCGGTTATACATAAGCTGCTACAACAGAAATTCTGTTTTCACCTTGTTCTAAATATGTCTGTCATTTTTGCCAGTTCAGCTTTTTTACAGGAGTACAATTTGTTGACAGCACTTACAATAATCAGATGTGCGCCTCTACCCCCAACCGATGTGCTTAATCCTTCATTGTAAACCCAACGTCAGTATTCTATAAATAATAGGTTCCTCACCCGATCTCTATCCCACCCCTGTAACCACTATTACATTTTGGTCTCTATACGTTTGCTTGTTCTTGCCACTTTCTATAAGTAAGGTCATACAACATTTCACCTTTTGTGATTGACGCATTTCACTCAGCATAAGTGTCTGGAGGCTCCCTCCATGTTGTATCAAGACTTCATTTCTCCTCCTGGCTGAGTAGGATTCCATTGTATGTATGTAACACATTTTGTTTATGCACTCATCTCTTGATGGATATTAAGGTTGTTTCCGCCTTTGGGCTATTGTGAACAGTGCTGCAGTGAACACTGACTGATGTACTTTGCATTCGAGTTTTTGGGTATACACCCAGGAGTGGAGTTGCCTGGCCATGTGGTAGTTTTCATTTTGGGTTTTTTTTTAAATCGTTTTATTAGGGTCTCATACAACTCTTATCACATCCATACACACATCAACTGTGTCAAGCACATTTGTACATTCCCTGCCCTCATCATTCTCCAATAGTTTTCTTTTTTTGAGGCGCCAGCACACGGTTTTCCACAACAGCTGTATTCCCAGTAGTGAATAAGTGTTCCAATTCTTCCACATCTTTCCCAACATTTGTTATTTTCTGTTTTTCTTAACCATCCTAGTGTGAGCTAAGTGGCATCTCATTATGGTTTTGTTTTGCATCTTGCTGATGGCTGACAACACTGAGCATCTTTTCATGCGTTTCACCCTTTAACCATTTTATGATTGGGTTATTTGTACTTTGGTTGTTAAAGCTTTATAAATATATTAGTTATCGTATTTTTATCAGATATGGGGTTTCTGAAGATATTCACCCAGTCTAAAGCTTGTTTTTTACTGTTTGGGTAAGCTGTTTGATGAACAAAAGTGTTTTTATCTTAAAGAGGTCCCGCTTATTTATTCACTTATTTATTTTATCATATGCTGTTTGCGCTTTTATTATTAGATGGTCCATTGTTAAAAGCTAAGCCTGACAGCATTTCCCCTGCACGTTTTTTTCTGAAAAGTTTGGGTTTTGTTTGCACATATAGATCTCTAACCTGTATTGAATTTATTTTTTAATTTGGTGTGAGGCATAGGTTCTGTTTAATTTTTCTGTATGCAGAAACACACTTTCCCAGTACCATTTATTGAAGAGACTCTTATTCCCCCATCAATGGACTTAAAACCCTTATTAAAAAAATAGTTGTTTATAGATATGTGGATGTATTTCAGGATTCTCAGTTCTAGTCTGTTGGTCTATATATCTATTGTTATAGTAGTATCAGGCTGTTGTGATTATGTAGCTTTATAAGTTTTAAAATGGAAAGTGTGACTTTTCCTATTTTTTCTTCTCTTTGAACATTACATTAAGAGCTATTAGAGTTCCATATAAAGTTAAGGATTGCTTTTTTATTTCTGTAAAGAAAGCTGTTTGAATTTTGATCAGGATTGCATTAAATTTATAGATTACTTTAGGTAGTATTGATATTTTAACAATATTAATTTTTCCAATCCACTAACATGGTACATTTTCCCATTTGTTTCTATTTTGTTTTATCTCTTCTTTTTGTGTGCTTGTTTTGTTTGTTCATTTTTTTCTTGGCTTATAAGATAATTTGTAATTGCTGAACATTATATTTATATATATTCTCATTAACAGTTGAGTTTATTTCAACAGTAAATTTGAAACTTTTGCCTTAGGCAAGCAAGCTACCAGTCAGGAATTGACATTTCCTACACTGTCAAATATATAAGTTCCTTTTGACTTTGCTCCACACTGATCAGCCAACAGATTCAGTCCTCTTTTGTTTGATCAACTACTGAGTTAACCCAAGCTTCTTCTTCAGAGACTCTGGCATCTCAGGTGGAGGAGGACAAGGGAGTCTGAAGTAGACCTTAACGGAGTCATAGATGAACAACGGTAGAGCAGTCAGAACTCCGATCATGATGATACGGGCAAACAGTCCCTTCCATACACCTTTAAATCCAAGTCTCAGGAGGACCTGAGAAGCAGTGCTACCTTTCTCCTTGTTCAACACAGACACCACAGAATCCACAAGGTGGGAAACAATTGCACAAAAGATGCCAGCTATATAACCAGCCACGAATGTTACAGCAAGCTGTTCTCCCTTCGAACATTCACTTCGGGCTTGGGAACCACAAACTTGTATATTGCTTCAACAGTCCGTTCGAAGCAGGCAAACTTCATCATGGTGTATGGAGCAACCCCCTTGTAGAATGCATATAATAAGCCTTCTTCTTTAAACATTTTGGGAGTCGCATCCCTCAAAGTGTTGGCATAACCAGGTTGGGTCTGAATTCGAACCTTAGCAGCTTCCATGGGAGCCAGAGCTATGTCAGCAAAGAATTCAGCACCGGCAGAGGAAGCCAAATACAGTGATGTGCGCCACGGATAGCTGTTCTCATCGCCAAGCATATTGCTGTAAAGTACTTTGAAAACTTCATAAAAGCCGAACTTGCAAAGCCCTGCATGGAGTAGCCAATGAAAGTCAGAGCCCATTCTTTAGCCAAGCCTCGAACACCATCCTCTTCAAGTGTAACTGAGAATCCATTAAATATGCCCTTGCATTTTGGGGCGTCCACCTGCATTCGGCATTTCACAAAATCCAGAGGAACCACAGCAGTGTGGGTCAGCCCACAACTCAAGAGCCCACCAAAGCCACACAATGCATAAAACTTCATGGAGCCATATTCACAACGGTATTCTTCTACAGCGGTGACTGCCAGGGTGCGGGTGCGGGTGCGGGTGCGGGTGCGGCAGGGCAGGCCGGGGCTGCTGTGGGTCTCTGCGGGGCCATTGAGCACCTGCTGCAGGTGTGGTGCGTGGAAAGGGTTAGTCCGCGCCAGGTGCGCCACAAATGAGAACATCTCCGGCCTAAGATGGCGAACTCACGTCCACTCCCCAGACAAGGCTGCGGCCCACCATTATATATACTTTTAATTTGAATATTGTGTCTGAATGATATTTTGTCTATCTCCAGAAAGGACTAAATGGCCTCAGACTGATCATCTTCATCTATTTGAAAATCATAATTTTCTCTTTATTCTAGTTATAATCGTAGCCCTTGTAGGGTCCCAACTAAAAGTCACGATGGTTTCCAAAGCATTTTATCCAATATATTCTTTCTCTCTGGAATCTTGGTTACTATACCTTTGTCTTCAGACAGATCTTTAAAATTCAAATTTAGTTGTTTTCAGTAAATTAATTCTGATAACAATTTCTCCATCATAGAATAACAGTCTCCCCTTCCATTATGTTATTTCTACATTTTAGAACAAATAACATGTAAACTATGTTATTTTAATGTTCACATCTGTTATTAGTCATAGAATTTAAAATATGTGCAGCGCACATCAATTCTTAGGACTTAGTTATCTTTTTTCCAGGCATTTTTTGGTTTCCTTTAGTTTATTGTTGATTTCATTCATGAGGAAAGCAATGTCTCAGAATCTCAAATCCAGCATTTTCATTCTATTTTTTTGTGCATTTTGAGGTATACAAATAACTTTTCAGTTTCTTGTTACATTGTTCAACATATGCCTTGAGTAGTCAGTTATGAATTTGCCAATGCCTTGGTTTTAAAGCTGCATAGATTTGAATGGTGTACTCCAGCCCTATTTTCTCCATAAAACCTGTAAAATTTGGTATGTAAATCAAAGTTGAGAAATTTGGGGAAGACATATATAGAAGAAATTTCTCTATAGTCTTAATACATCCACTTGAAATAAATATTATTTTATATTTGTGTTTTTTTTTCTTTATGGAAGTTTTCTGACTTCTGGAACAAGAAAATGCCATGTGTTTGATTCTTTTTTCCTTTTTCTTTTTCAGATTTGGAGTCCAGTTACAGGACCAATAGTTTATCTCCTGAAAAGGACATTTATGAAATATTTTCATTCCAATGGGAAATAATGGAAAGTATTAAAAGCCATAGCCTTCAGGGCTCCATTTATAGAAATGATTGGGAATTCCAAAACAAGATTGAGGGGCCAAAGATAACACACGAGGGATATTTTAGGCAAGTGAAGATTATTCCTGAAAAAATGTCCACTTACAAAAAAAACAATTTCCTTACTGAATATCAGATAGTTCATAATGGAGAAAAGGTATATGAATGTAAGGAATGTAGGAAGACCTTTATTCGTCGCTCAACACTTAGTCAACACCTGAGAATTCATACTGGTGAGAAACCTTATAAATGTAAAGAGTGTGGACAGGCCTTTAGACAGCGTGCACACCTTATTCGACATCATAAACTTCATACTGGTGAAAAACCTTATGAATGTAAGGAATGTGGGAAGGCATTTACTGTGCTTCAAGAACTTACTCAACATCAAAGGCTTCATACTGGTGAAAAACCCTATGAATGTAAAGAATGTGGAAAGGCCTTTAGAGTTCATCAACAACTTGCTCGACATCAGAGAATTCACACTGGTGAGAAACCGTATGAATGTAAGGCATGTGGGAAGACCTTTAGACAGTGTACACACCTTACTCGGCATCAGAGACTTCATACGTCGGAAAAGCTCCATAAATGTAAGGAATGTGGGAAATCCTTTGTATGTGGTCCAGACCTTAGAATACATCAGAAAATTCATTTTGGTGATAAACCGTATACATGTAAGGAATGTGGAAAGGCTTTTAGAATATGCCAACAACTTACTGTCCATCAAAGTATTCATACAGGTGAGAAACCCTATGAATGTAAGGAATGTGGGAAGACTTTTAGATTAAGACAACAACTTGTTCGCCATCAGAGAATACATACTCGTGAAAAACCCTATGAATGTATGGAGTGTTGGAAAACTTTTAGTAGTTACTCCCAACTTATTTCCCATCAGAGCATTCATATTGGTGAGAGACCCTATGAATGTGAAGAATGTGGGAAGGCTTTTAGACTTTTCTCACAACTTACTCAACATCAGAGCATTCATACTGGTGAAAAGCCTTATGAATGTAAGGAATGTAGGAAACCTTTTAGATTGCTCTCACAACTTAGTCAGCATCAGAGTATTCATACTGGCGAAAAACCTTATGAATGTAAAGAATGTGGTAAGGCTTTTAGACTTTATTCATTTCTTACTCAACACCAGAGGATTCACACTGGTGAGAAACCCTACAAGTGTAAGGAATGTAAGAAGGCCTTTAGACAACATTCACATCTAACTCAACATCAGAAAGTTCATAAGGGAATTTAATATAAGAAACCCTTCAAATGGACATTATATTGCTAGGCATTACAGAATTGTTTCTTGTTTAATGTGTTTAATTCTCACAACTAAGCCTAAGAGATTTTATATTAGATTAAAAAAATGTTGATTTAAAAGCCTCCTATTACCACGTAAACCTCTGTAGCAAACACGAGAGAATAATGTAATGAATTTAGAAGAATTTTAGCCTTATCTGTCATGATATTCATTTAATACTTTTATTACTAATATGACATTGGATATTTAAGCCTTTTTTTACTCATTTGTAAAATGTTGATTGTACCTTTGTATTAGTTATTTATTGCTGTGTAATAAACTACCACACCTTAATTATACACCTGTGTAATAAAAACACACACCCCTTTATTATCTCACAGTTTCTTTCAGCCAGAAGTCCAGGCACGAATTAGTTGGACTTTCTGCTTCAGGGTCTCTAGCAAGGGTACAATCAGGGTTTCATCCAGGACTGAGGTTTCATCTGCAGGTTTGACAAAGAAAGAATCTCCTGTTGCTTATAAACAAGCCATTGAGCAAACCCACTCAAGGGAAGGAGAATACGAGAGGTGGAGGACCAATGGGAAGAATTTTTTTAAAAAATTTTAATCATGAACCATTTTCAAGTCTGCCTGTCACACTATATAAAAGGATTGAAATTAATACTTGGAAGAATAGCAGCAGTTATGTATTCTCTATAATTGTTATCATAAGTACTAGTTCATTCATGGAAGAAAGTTATTAAGAAGTAATAACTGTAAAAATGTTTTCTATAACTTCTCAGCACTCATTAAACTTAAGGTAATTTATTCTGGATAAAAAATTTTATAATGAATGTGGTAAGTTCTTCATTCTTTGAGCAGCATCAGGAATTCTGTGGAGAAAAACAAACAAACCCCAACCCTAAATTTTGTAAACATGGATTGTTAATAATACAGCTGTTGAAGAATCAAGAATATGAAATTATTTCCCCATAACAAATTTTAAAACAAACGAGACTTAAAAGTCACAGTTAGACCATAATTCACAGTGAATTAGAAATGAAAACAAGATGGCAAAAAAACAACAAAATTGCAAATTTGGAAATTCAAAATTTGTGTGGGTGTGAAACTCTCAAATGCAATCTTACTGAAGTCTGTATGCCTTTCAGTGTTCAAATTGCTCCATCTTTTGACAGTGGAAGTTCTTTCAAGTTCATCAACCAGTAATTTGATGACTTATCTGGGTATGGCTGCACAATTTCATCAGTTATAGAAGATATTCTAATACCTACTCACCATTCTGGGAAGTGTTAAGAGGAAAAATTGAGCATTTAGCCTACCTTTATTGTGTGAACCTAGTTTCAGGGTCATCAAAATGTATCAAACAAGGTGTTCTTTGTTTGTTTTTAATTTATTTACATACAGAATGATTGGATTATAAAAGCCACTTTTGGTGATGCCGGGAGGGTAGAGGGAGAAAGGGGGAGTGGATTACAAGGATCTACATATGACTGCCTCCCTGGGGGTCGGACAGTGGAGAAGTGGGTGAAGGGAGACGTTAGATGGTGTAAGATATGACAAAATAATAAATTATCAGGGGTTCCTTGGGGGGGGGGGCTCCCTCCTGGGGCTCAAGTGGGAGGGCAAATGTTTTGAGAATGATGAGGGAAACAGGTGTACAGGAGTGCTTGACACTGGATGGATGTATGGATTGTGGTAAGAGTTGTACGAGCCCCCCATAAAGTGATTTTTTTTAAAGCCACTATTTTCTAGTGGTGGGCTACTAACTGCAAGGTCAGTAGTTCGAAACCACCAGCTGTTCCACAGCAGAAAGACAAGGTTTTCTACTCCCATAAAGTATTACAATTTGAGAAACCCATCGGGCAGTTCTATTCTGTTCTATTGAGTCCGAGTCATAATCGACTTTATGGCAATGAGTGCGAGAATGCTACAGGGGCACAAAAATGATCCTCAGTGGATGCTAAAACTACTAAGTGGAAAATTGGTGAGACTTTTGTCATCAATTTATCAAACTGACCACTTGTAAAATCTTTTAATCAATGTTAACCTCAATAAGTGAAACTATAAGGCTACATTCACATCCTGATACAGTGTAATAGACAGTACACAGCACTACTTAACGAAGCATTTTGACAAAATGAACTGAAAAAGTCAAGCCTATAAATAAAATTATTTCAAACCTTTACATAAAATTCTTTAAAATTTGCAGGACAACGCAAATAAGATAAATATGAAAGGAAGCAGTCAACCAGATTCAGAATGTGTAAAATTCTACAGAACAGATTACCTGATTTTTTCCCAACTGAGTGGCATGAAAAAGAAAAAGGGAGGGGTAGCTACTAACAGATTAAAAGAGATTTGAGACAGTAACAATTAGACATGTGAACTTTTTATGGACCTGATTTGAGTAAAATTTAAAAAAACATTTGGACATTGTGGGAGAAATATGGACGTAAACCAAGTACTAGATGATCTTGAGAAATATTCATTTTGTTAGGGATGGATAATGTTATTTAAAAATGAAAGATTCAGTTATTTAATGAAAGATTAATGCTATTTAAAAATGAAAAATTATTAAAAAATGAAAATAGAGACATGCACTGAAAAGTTTATTTTTTTAAAGTTTATTGTATACTGTCTCTGTTTTAAAATATTCCAGAAAACATATATAGTAAGGAACAGAGCTAGAAATTAGATTGGGAATATGTTGATAATTATTGAATTGGGTGGTTTGTTTATGGAGTTTCATCACTCTAATATTGTTGTATTTGAAAGTTTCAAAAATAAATTTAAAATACAAATTAAAGGCTTCTAAGAAATGGATGATAAAATGACTATATCTAAAATTGTAAGATGTCACTAACATTCTATACAGAGAGAAATTAATACCGTTTAATGCATTAAGGAAACTATTTGAGCCCAATCTTCATCTTACTTTATGTTCAGTCAGTAATCAGTGATGGTTGTATCACCCAGTAGACAGACACTAGGTAAGTGTGTTAAAAGAATGAATAAGTTTTTCAATAAACCTGAAATGGAACAAAATAAAACCAACTCAAATAAAAGGAAGGAAGGTACAATCAAAAGTAAAAATTAAGATACTAAACATTATTAGGCTTAGCCAGTGTGGAAAAATGACTAGTCTGAATCAGAATTGACTCAATGGCAGTGAGAGAATGAGGGGGAAATGTTAGAACATTAACAGTGGTAAAAGTGATATTGCTACATATTATCAATAAGTTGTAAATATTTTATAATTAATATATAGGTATATGTGTGCAGCAGCTTAAAAAAGGTTGTGGAAAATGAAATTAAAAGATAATGGAATTTTCCCATGAACGTTTGTATTCAAGTACATAATTGAGAGATTCATTTCTTTCCTTACGAGAATACGTTTTCACAATTGACTTCATGCTGTAGAATCTCAATATATCAACATATGTGTATTATGTAAACTCTGTCTACATTTTTAGGTCCAATGGAGGCCCCTTTATTAAACAGAGAGGGGGGAGGACTTCAGCAGAAGCCTTATCATGAGGAGTGCCCTTGAAGACAGTGTTCCCTATTCTCATACAATTCTCAGTGCTTTCCCACTACTAGTCATGTCTCTTCTCCCCTAGCTCCAGCTTTGGGGTTCATACGACTGCAGAAAATACTTGTTCATGGTTGATGGCAGTTATCGAATTTCATGTCAACTTGATAAATAGACCAAAGGGGTGGAATCTAGCCTGTCAATCAGGTAACAAGGTCACACTCAACAGGAGGATCCTGGGAACTTCTTCCCTAGACGTGGAACACACTCTTTCACAATTCCTGTTGGCAAGCTGCATAGAGCCACTATGATGGCAGCCAGAGCCCTGGAGATGCTTCCACCACCACTGGATCCACAAGACTCTTCACCCACAGGCCTGTGATCTTCCTGCATTCCACATCATTGCATGTGTTGCGTGAGTCTGTAGAGGAATTTATAGACTAGTATCATATTTAAGAACTTGATCTGGACTAGTCTGAGGTGTTTTCTCAATATACAATTGCTCTTTGATATAAAGCTCTCTTATACATAGATGAATGTCAATGAATTTGTTTCTCTAGTCAACCTGGTCTAACGTATTATGGTACCCTGGGAGTGGAGTACTAGAGAAACAAATTGTGAAGATGGAGAGTGGATGCTTGTTTGACCTCTGCCTCGTGGTAGTTTTCTTCTTTGGTTAGCCAGAGGTCAGATATGGCCATGCCATTTACTAGGTTGTTTTCTGGAAAGAATATGGGAAATTAAAGTTTTGATTATTTTCTTTGGTTATTTCTGTTTGAAATGGTGAAAATGAATGTGATTAATGTATATTTTGAGCTCAAGGGGTGAAATTGCTCCTTGAAGTTTTCAGAGACCATACTGCTTAGTGAAAATGGCTGACAGAAGGTCAAAATGGCTGACAGAAGGCTCAGCCCTGGTTTGATGCAGTAGAGGTCTAAGGCCATGTTTCATATCAATAGAATGGTTTAGATAAGGATTAAGATAAGATATATTAAGGAACTTGACTGTTTTAAGAATTAAGTTTAGGATCTGGCTATACTAGGCTTATACTGATTTCTTCTGCCTATTGTTATTGATATAATGATTGATAGAAATGATTATTGGGAAGTATAAATAGAGTTTGTAAGCTCACTGTTTCAGCCATCAATTAGAATCTTTAAATGGGTTAGGGCAGGCCTGCAAAGGCTCTGGAAAGATAAGCCCCACCCAGTGCTTTGGAGTACTCAGTACATTTGCATTTGAAGAGACTTGCCTAAAGGGCTCTTGACAGCCTGAACAAAAAAGGATCTCTTTGGCTTTTTGAATTTTGAACTAGTGGTTTATGCCTGAGGCTGGAAAAATTTGGAGCCATAAAGGAACTCTCCTCTCTAGGACTGAATGTTATAAAGAGCCTGTGGGCAGGCTGAGATGCTTGCTAGGTGACCACCTGGATCCACTTGTTAAGTAAAAGTGGAAGAAATGCAGAATTAAGAGACAGGTTGAATCTGCCACATCCGTGGACCTGTTTCACAGGTACTAGAGGAGAAGACAAGAGCAGGCTGGTTGGTCTGAAGTTCATGTCCTAGCCCAAGAGGGTTAGAGTTGTTGAGAATTAATGATGGGGCCCATGGTTGAAAGGTAAGGCAGCTAATGGGCACCCTAGTGAAGCTAAGCAAGGTGGCCCATGTTGAGTTGACCAGAACCCGATCAAATGAAGATAAGATTTTTGAGCCTGTGAACTGGTGCATATTGCTGCTGACTTTATGGATGACCTGTCCTGATTTGACTTTGCTTATGGACTCATTAGTTTCCAACTGGAATGAAGATTCTTCACATCAAAGAACATGCTGTCTCCTC